GTGTGCATACGCACTTTATGCATTTGCGCTGACAATCACTTCAACTGAGCTCAAACTCTTATATTTAGCATTTTGCCACATGCATTTGTGTTAGTTAAATGTCACGAGTAAAGCAAACCGTGTTTCCAAAAAGGCCGGGATACAATAAAATGTAAATAAAATGCAAATCATAGAAAGTATGTTTAATTGTGCAAGGATGACATTCAGTTTAATCACAGAGCCATGCTGTAATATGTGCAGGATGTGGTTTGGGCCTCTCTTGAATATCATTACTGATGCCTTCACAGAAAGCTTAAGTTGGACATCCCACATGGATTCCAGCTCCTTTTAAACTTTGCTGGATGGTTCCCCAGTTCTTTAGCCCAGAGAAAGTATCCAGAAATCTGGCATGTTGGCTGTTATGTAATCTCAATAATGAAATCCTCCAGTTCTTTGCATTTTTTATGTTCCTTACTGCTGTTTTTAAACAGTTCAAGTAGATCTCTATCTAGTCTTTTTTACGAGTGGTTAAAAACTCTCTTTACTTCTGAAAGACGCTCCAAGATGCTCTTTTGCTAATGAACCTAATTAGCTGTGTGCATGCGGTCAAAAATAAATAAATAAGAGGAGTGGAGAGGTTCTGGATCTTGAGGCAGACAGGTAAGGTAACATCCAGAGCACACGGAACATGTGGAAACATGAGGGACGGTAACCATCTATGCAGGAGGAGCAAGATCTAAGATCTAAGCAAGAGGAGTCCAGAAACCATGAACTGCAAGGAGCATTAACGTTTAAACACAGACAGGAGGAACCATGTTGTCTTTGTACCAGTCTAACTGCAATGTGGAGTTTAAATGCTTAGCAAATCAATGCACAATGTTTTTGTTTACATTTTGCAAAAGTAGTACTGACTTTTTTTTTGGAAAGCACGTTTGCTCCTGAGAGGGGCTTTTACTGAAAAATAGGAATGGGATCAGTGTTGAAAATAAACAAGAACACATTGCTGCTATAACTGTGCCAATAAATTTCATGTAAAAATCCACTCCCTCCCGGCCTGCGCATGTTTATGAGTCATTAAGGTGACTGAGAATATCTGAGAATGCCATATATGGGCGTGTAACGTGCTATTCCCCTTTAAGACTTAAAAGAAACAGCATGCGTGCTGTCTTAATTCAACTGAATAAACCAAACCTGTCTATAACCTGTACACATTTGTTAGGTATACCCAGTCAACGTCTTGTTCACACTAATATCTAAAATCGAATCTGTTGTTGCCGACTGTGGCCATCACTTTATGATCACAGTGCAACCACAGTGCAACTGAGAAAAGCTGGTTTTCTTTTGCTTTTAAGAGAGCTCTGAAGCTGCTGTTGTTTGTGTGTGAGGACATTGCAGCGCAGTGAGAGTGAAAAGCAGCAGATGGAGGAGAATTTGCACATCCTGTCCGTCTGTCCACTTGTGGGGGGCCTTGTGTTCTAAACACTTGAGGGGGAAAGATCTCACAAAAATTCCTGTAATGGAATGTGAACATGTTCTCTGGCTCTTGCAGGAGAGCTTATTTGCCTTAAATCAGTTACAACAATGAGTTGTATAAAACTAGATCCACACGGGTTAATTGGCTTTATCTTTGGGTTCAATGCAGTGTAGTTTCTAATGAGTCAGTTACACCATGTTGTTGAGTGTGGCTGGTTGTTACTGTTTGAGTTTATGAGAATCCAAAGCAGTGATATTTCAGGGATCAAAAGCCTTTTGCAAGCAATTTTTACGTGTAATTCAGGTATGTACCTGATTTACAGCAAATAAGCTGCCAGACAAGAGCCAGAGAACATACTTCCCCTCAAGTTAAAACCTTCATTCCCCCCTACCAGAAATCGATCCTTTTTGCTGTAGTTCCTGCTTTCTAAAAACTTTTCCAGCATTTTGAAGGCTCCGTACAGCTGTTATTACAGATGTACAGCCAGCTCTTTCTGTGGTTTCTGGCGGTCCAGCAGAGAAGCATCATTTGTTGAGTGATGACCTTTAGCAAGTGGAAGTCTAGGGCTTGGGTGATCTTGCTGCCAAATCTTTTTTTTTCATGCCTCAGTGAGACATTACCTAAACAAAGCCCAGAAATTCAAGATGAACTTGCTACATATGAAAAATCTTTCCGCCAGCATAGGCTGTGCTTTTTTCTCACTGCCAGATGTAAATTATCATCATGTAAATAAAGAAATAGAAGGATCCTGCAGCTCTCTTAAAGTCTTTACTTGAAAGCTTTGCGGAGGATAGGATATCTAGTAGAAAACATTTAGGGAACCATTTATGTTTAGTATCCTTTCACAGAACTGCCCTCTGCTTATGTGTACAGATACAGTCAGAGACAGACTTCCAGTTAGTGGACATGTAAACATGTAACGTAATGGACAAATTACTAAAATAAGGTAATCGAGATTCTGCTGGCTCCGAGGTCGGCTTAGTCATATTTCCTCATTATTTAGGGAACTGAGAATTGTGAGGCAGAGTGAGGTTTTGTTTGTTGCGCTGGTTACCACTAGAGGTCAGTAGAGGTATGCTGATTCTCAGTGCTGAGCCGTCATTGATACTTGATACTTATGAACAATATTAAGTGACTTAAAAAAATAACTCTTTTTAACACAAGTATTTTTTATTATAGTCTCTTGAATCAATCATTGGTTTGCTGGAGGCATCAGTGTCTCTTTGACTCGTAAGTAAATTAGATGGTCTGCTTTAAATTTGATTTAGGTTTCCAACTACAGAATCTTTTTCAGATGTCTTTCAAACAAGCAAGGTTGGTTTCTACAAAGCAGTCTGCTACACCAGCACTAACACATGCAATGAAACTATAAGTGGAATCAGTTTCCTCACAGCAGGCTTCATATTCAGTTTTCCTCATGCAGATGACTTCCAATTTGACTGAATGACTGCAGCAACGACACAGGAAGCTCTGAGGCTCGTAAGAGTGAGTGCAAAGGCAAGTTGTTGGCGTCTTGTTGCTCTTGCATCTTTGTGCTGTGACACTGAAAACTTAGTTACTGTAGGTCTGTCACTGAAGCTGCCCAGTTTAAATTGAAATGAGAAATACACAAATTTTGCTTGTCAGGCCTCAGAAAAAAATCAGTTTTGATTCCTGAAATTTAACAACTGAGCTTTTCAACATATCGGTGCAATATAGGGAAAAATCACGTTTCCTTTATCTGATCCAATAATGCAAAATAGGTAATGTTACCTGTTAAGAGGTGAGCAGATTGTCAATGAATTAGTTGCTCGTCTTGCTCAACATCCATCACGATTCACAAGTTGTTACCTGTAAAACTATGAATGTGACTTTGATCTTGAGCACAGTTTGGATGAATTAGGTGGTTAGTGTGTTTGTTTCACTGAAATCTCACTAATACTGTAGGAGGAGTGGCGGTTCTTGTAAATTGTAGACAGATGCAGGGAGGTCCCACCCTAGAACAAACTAATCGGTCCATCAGCCGGATGAGCTGAAAACATTAAGACATTAAGTGCTTCACAGATACACATGTGTACTATATTCTGCTATATATTCAACTTTATCCTTTACCAAACACAGCTACAGTCAAAGACTGTAGCTCAGGTGGTAGAGCAGGTCAGCTACTAACTGGAAGGTTGGTGGTTTGATCCCAGTCTGCTCCAGTCTGCATGCCAAATATCCTTGATCAAGATACTAACCCCATGTTGCTTTCTGATGCATCCATCGGAGTGAGAATGTGTATGAAGCACTTAATAGCTTATAAAAAAAGTGCCTGTGTGAATGGGTGAATGAATTAGTTGTATAAAGTGCTTTGAGTGGTCAAATAGAGTAGAAAAGGACTATATAAGAACCAGTCCATATAAAGATATAGACTTTATTATTTATTCCCGTTTAACTGCCCATTAAAGCAAATATCTAATCAATCAATATCATGGCAGCAAGTCGGTGACATGATCAAGACGAGCTGGTGAAATTCAAACTGAGCATCAGAATGAAGAAAGACGGTTTAAGTGACTTTGAACGTGGCATGGTTGTTGGTGCCAGACAGCCTGGTGTGAGTATTTCAGAAACTGCTCATCTATTCATATCTACAGGGATTTTCCCACACTGCTGTCTTTGGGGTTTACAGTCTGAAAAAGAGAAAATATCCAGTGAGCAGCAAATCTCGGGGTAAAAAAATATCTCTTTGATGTCAGAGGTCAAAGGTGAATGGCCAGACTGCTTTGGGCTGATAGGAAGGCAACGGTAACTCAAATAAGCAGAAGACCACACTGGGTGCTGTCAGCTAAGAACAGGAAACCGAGGCTGCCCACACAGGCTCACCAGAACTGCACATTAGAAGACTGGAAAAAACATTGCCTGATCTGATGAGTCTTGATTTCTGCTGAGACACTGGGTGGATAACACACCACGTCACATATCTCATATTCACCTCAAACTGGTGTCTTTAACGTGAAAATGAGTTCACTGCAGTGCGCTGTATCGTGCAACCGAAATCCTTAAAAAGTCCAGTGGAATGTGTGTTAAAGTTGAGTGTGCATTACCTAAACTAGACAATCTGGTCTGTCTGATCTTGTGAAAAAGTGATTTCAGTGAATGAAGTGCGTACGAACATGTTAAAACACAAACACCGTATAGTTGTTTATTTTCACGACAAATAAATAAGAAACAGACAAAAATGTGCAAAAAAACTTTTCCAAACATATATAAATACTCTGCTCAACATAAATGTATATATTATATATTATATATTAACTTCTTTCTCTTACAGGCTTGATTCTCGCTGTTGTAAAAGCGCCTGCATACGACCGACATAACATAGTGTAATATAAGTCAGAAAAACACCAGCCTTTATAATCACAGCATAGCTCGAGTTTCTTTGCCTCCTTACAGAGCTGTGATAGTTTTGATCTTTTTTAGTCCCATCACTGGGGCAAGACTCTGTTTTTTTAAGAGGTTTCTACAGCGTAGTGCAGCACAGGGTGTTTACAAGTGCTAAACACAGGAAATTTCCACAATTTTGTTGCATCATTGATCAGTATGGTGGATGTCAGTAGTGTTTGGGCAGTGCAATAAAACCTGTGTCACACTCGAAGTGTAATCAGCCTATCTTGACAGTTTCATTTTACCCTTCGCTGCCTTTCTCCTCTTGGTAAGCGTATGCATCGATATTTGTGTATTAGGTTCCTCCCTTGCCCCACATAAGTCTCTCAGTGGACCCAGACTGATGCCGTGGCCTTGTTACAAGCAGGACCAGCAGAGGAGTTAGCTGGAACAGAGCTCACTTCCTCACTCTGCTGGCGATGAACACTGATCTGGCTGCTCATACTCCGGGAAAAACTTCCAGAAAGTCTGCCTAAACAATATCCCAAAAAGTCAGAGGAGTTGGTTGAGCTTCACTGCTTGTTATCGAGAGTGCACCGCCTCTGCAGCTTCATGTGGCGCTGGCTAACCTGGTGGCCCTCCGAGTTCGGACATTTGGCTTGATTTGCACAGGAGCAGTTAAGCACGGGGTGCAGTTGCCGAGTCCATGTCAGCTGGAAGAATATACACAAAGCATATTAAAGTCAAGCACTAATCCTATAGTTCACATGCTGAATTTTCTAAGGTTACGAATGGTACCTGAGATCTGAGGACATGCAGCTCGTTGTGAGCTTTGGTATACTTCTTCTCCAGTTCCAGATATTTGCCCTTAAGCTTCTCCCGGTCTCTGCGCTCCTTCCGAAAGTCTTCCTTAAAGACTTCAGCCTAAATATGGACGTGAGACAAATAAAAACAGATGTCCATTATGGGTAACTCAACAGTTTGGGCAATTCTTATACACCCCTTACTACATTTAACCTTGGATTTTATAAGATATGGTTTACACATTCATTTAAGTGAGTAAGTGAAAAGCAGCTGAGTGGATTCGAGCTGAAGACACAAATCCCCTTTGGAGGAAGGGGATCTGGTGTAAAACGCTGCCAAAAATCAAACATGCAGGGTGCCTGCTTTGTGGCAAAGTGGCAGCTGAAAGCAGCTATTAGCCAGACTACTACAGAGTGAATTTTATAGGTTTTTTGATTGTTTTTGGACACGGACAAGTAATACCTTTTTCCTTTGTTTTCAGTCTTTATGCTAAGCTAATTCTTGCTGTCACTGTATATTTGTTAAACAGGGTGGCAGCAATCCGAAGGCTACTTTCAACACTAAATGATAGATTCACATAACGACATCATCACCATATCATCTGAATGGAAATTGGTCTATCATGCAAGGCCTGAAGCAACAAATACTGTGACTATGTTCCCAACATTAACCATTTTTTTTCACCAAGGAAGCAAAGAAAAACATCACACACATGAAGAAAAAGCACTCACTTGATGTTTCCAGATGTCTAGTGTTTCATTGTCCACTCCAAGGGACTGAGAAGCCTGAAGCGCCTCCTTTAAGGCCTGCACAGACACATTGAAGCCACTGTTAGAGCGTTTTTACTGCGAGGGTTAGAATGAGACTTCCTTTTCATCAGTGAATATCAGAGAAAGCCTGATGCCTCACCTTGTTCAGTCGTCTGATCTCCTCGTGTTGATGCTGCCCTTTGCGGGTCAGGGCGCTGTTCTGCGCTCGCAGCTCTTTTACTTCTTTCTGTGCTTCGAGCTTCTCAGAGCTGGCATCACCCTCTTCCGTCTGTGAAAAAGCATCCCATGAGGGAACCGTTAGCGCTCAGATCAAACGACTTAATCTATCAAAGAGCGGTCGGCGCATTTACCTGTGCGCTCTCTTTTCCTTTGATCACCTTGAGCTTCAGTCGGTTTAACGTGACGTGCTTTCCTTCTTCCTCTTCAAAGCGATCACACTGCTGTAATGCTTTTAACTCCTCGACCTGGACATTGGGTGCAGAACGCAGACAACACTTAAATGATAAACAAGTGCGATAATAAACCGACACGAGCTGAAAAACAACATTAAAGGATGTGAACTTGCTCCTTTCTTACCTTCTCTTTGTAGTAGTGCACCATGGTTCGGTACTCTTTTGCCCATTTCTCATTAATAGAAAGAAGCTGAGTAAAAACAGAAAGACTGTGAACCTTTAAACGTGCATACACGGGTCATAGGATGAATACACAGAAAGTCTGAGAAGTACTCACCTCGTTCTTTTGCTCTTCTAAGATAAGAATCTGTGTTTTCATGTTGACATCACTTTTGTGAGAGGACCCTTGCAGCTGAGGCACATAAAAGAGAGAAAAACAGGAACTACTCAAATGTGGCACGCAGTAAATCCATCAACAGCCAAATGCCTGCGACTCTGGGAAATTATGCAACACGACTCCCTCTACCAACTTCCTTTTACACATTTTTGGAAGTTTTGCTTCACACTGCTTCCAGTAACCCAACGAATATCATCATTCAGTTGTGGTCAGGCAATCAAAAAGTGGTGGTTCTCTGTTCTTTTGTTACCTGTGTGTTTTCCAGCTTCACAGACGGGTGTAGTTCTTCCCCAGTATTGCACCAAAACTCATACCTGAAAAACAAATGATTTGCATCACGTTCCTCCATAAAAACTGACTCCAATTTTCACATAAGTGCTGCTGTGATGTGTCTCACCTGTCTATATTTGGCAGAGATGGATACAGTCTGTGGGCTTGTCTGTGTTTGTCAGTGTCATTTGACTCTGATGGGTCCACAGGCAGCCTTGCCGTTGAGTTTTCAAGCAGAGACTGTCAAAAAAAGAAAAAGTCAAGGACATAAGGACTTACTCAGTTGTATATAGCATTTGTATTCTATTTTTTATCTTATTGTATATTTTATTCTACTGTATATAGTATTTTATTTTATTCTATTCTGTACAGTTGTGTACTGTATTTATTCTTATTGTATTCTAATTTTTGCTTCATAACTTTTGCACTGTCCACTTCCTGCTGTGACAAAACAAATTTCCCACGTGTGGGACTAATAAAGGTTATCTTATCTTATCTTATAAGTTTTATATGAAATTAATAATACTAATAATTTAAAAAAACGGTTCTTCTATTGTAAGAATAAGTACGCCAGCATAGATGTATTTACATTAGGATGGCCTAAAATGAGTTTTTCTTCTGACATAACACCCCAGTGTAGAAACCGATATTTCCACAGGTTCAGCAGTTTCATTTGACATCAATGCAAATTCCCAAAGATATCAACATAAATGAATATTACAAGTATTTCTGCTTTTGTCTCAGAAAACGATTAATCAGTCATTACTAATAACAATTCAATTACTCAAAGAGTGTGTTGCAGCCTTGACGTAGTCACTGTGCTCCACGGAGATACTGTGCTGCAGTGAGCTCAGTTTGTTTGTAATGGCACAAAGTGACACTTGACTCATACCCACAAAGGATGTCGATTATCTATACCCCGCGCTGTCACGTGGTTACCCGACCTCAGCTTGCACGTTCCTCGGTAAATCATCAATATTTAAACTGCCTTTAAAAACCTCTGAGGAGCTAACATGTTTATCAGGACAAGATGTCCAAGTTGATATAAAAGCCTATTGAACTCCTCCTGCTCTGAGTCCAGGTCAGTGTTCTGTACGAAGCAAAACTTTTTTTTATTTTTTTAAGTAGAAGGTCAGAGTTGTTCGATAATAACATAAACAAAAGCAGCGAAATGTAAAAAGCAGCAGACTCACCATACTGCGTTTCGGAGGCGTCTTCAGAGTGTGCAGACCCGACTAAAAAACATGTGAATTGAAGCGACGCGACCGGCTCGCCTCTCAGTTATACCGAGGATCCCCTGTGACGTGGGAAAACCCTGACTGTCCAATCAGCTGCCGGGATTCCCTCCCCGGTCCCGTGCAGTCAGAATGAGTTGAGCGACTGACCGACTTTGTCGAAGGAAAGGAAAGTACAAGCAGTTAATCAACGCCTCGAGCGGTAATAGACGATGTGTTTATGGTATGAATCGATGACTAAGACAAAAAAAAAAAATCTGCTGTTGCACTGCAAAAGATGGCAAATCTTTATTTACGTTTTTTTAACCGAGAGAATATTTTTCTAGCATTTAAACACCAAGCTAACATTTACTGTATTTACAGAGATAGTTTTTCTTTATATAAAAAAGCATGTATAATGTACAAAAACTCAGTTAATTAATTCATGAATTAATTATTCTACCCATTGGGACAACACATTACTAGGTGTAAAACAAAACAAAATAAAATAAAATAAAATAAAATAACACTATTGATAGCTATAGATTTATAGCTTTTATAACTTTATTTGTGTGTCTATTAACAAAAACATAAAAAAAAATTACTTTGTTTACTATATATGTTATACCTCAAGGTTAAAGTTCATATCCTAATTCATGTGAATGAAATTTTGAAACCATATGAAAAATTATAATGATACCAAGTAATATTGTAAGAGATTCTGACTCTTGATTTTTTACAGTGGACAGCCTCCAGTTTCAGCTGTGTGAACTCATCTGTATGCTGAGTATTTTTTTTTCTTTACTTCCTGGGTGGTTAAACTGCAGCCGCTTAAAAGCCCGACCAGCTTTCAGAACCACTAGTATCGAAATGAAACTGTCCAAAAAAATGCAAAACTTATGGCCTGCGGGTTATGGGAAAATCACACATCTCGCAGGCTTATCATTTACACAATCTCTTGACAGTCTGTTCTGAAAGGTGTTGACTCAGAGCGGGCTTATTTCAGGGAAGAAAGAGAGGGGAAAATACGCCACTGCTCCTCCTCCAGTAACCGGCACTCAGCGCGGGGGACTCAACCCAGAGCTAATTATTTATTATTTCTTATGGAAACCTGTGTGATTTATTCCCACATATAGGACACGCCATCCTTTTCTGCTTTAGGAGACTGGTTTCATGATCAGCACATTTTAATTAGAGATGATGTTACCAAACAGACACAGACATGTAATTCCTCAGTGCCCTTTTTCACATCAAGATATTTGTTTTTCTTTTGTTGAAGTGGGAGCTTCCACTCCTATTAAATATAGCCAATGGTGGGGACGTTCCAGCATGGCATTATGTGATATCCCGCACTCCACCAAAACAACCATTAATTTTTGTAGCCTAGGACATTTTTTGATATTTCCACCTGAAAAAAATAAGAAATAAAAAAAAAGAAATCCCCAGATTTTGCCAGTAAGACCAAAAATAGCCAACTCTCGACTCTATGGGTGAAAGAAACTCAAGAGAGATTATACAAGTCTGTTCCCATATATAAATGAATATAGCTACCGTCACATCATCATCATCATTGCTTTGCAGACCTGATTTGAAGCCCAAACCTGAGACCTCTACTTTCTGTGATATCCAAGGAAAGTGTGGATTTCAGAAGTCGACCAATGGTGCATTCTCAAGTGGTAGTGATTTGTCTATGATAGGGTGTGCTTGCCCTAAAGTGCTTACACTTGAAAACAGTGAGTGAGATCAGAAAGTCACTCAGAAAGTTTTCACTGAAGTCACAGAGTAAGAAATACAAAGCTGCTTTCCTATAGATTTCAATATACATATATATATATATATGTATACATGTGTGTGTGTGTGTGTGTGTGTTTGAGCCACAGGAATCACCTCCTGCTGGTAATGGGAAAGACTGCAGATCTAAAGCGCTTCTGCTGTCATCTTTTATCTACAGTCTATGTACACTGCACTCGCATGCCTCAGTTGTACTCTGCTGCAGACAGCTGGAAACCCAAGCAGACCCTAGAAGACTCACGTAGACGTTTTATGTGGTAACAATTTGTTAATTACATGGAGCCCCTCATTTAAATTGGGCCTGTTTTCTCTCCTTTTTTTATTCTAAGTTGAACTATAATTTACAAAATTAACTTGCGTTGAGGAAAATGTCCAACTAGTGACCAAGCAAATAAGGTTTTTTTTTTTTTTTTTAGCATAGACTCTTTTTGGAACTGTAAGACCCTCCCTCTACAGGCCAATAGGTACAGTGCAGCTTCAAGGCACTTCCACATTGGCTTTACTTCTCAGATTTTGAGGCCTTATCCATCATTTACATATTTTCTACATACATCAGACAAGAAACTAATTATTCAGAGAAAACCTCATAAATACCAATACCAATACATTATCCTATTAAGCTTTTATCTTGCCTGTTCTATAGCAGGCACGATAAATGGAGCCTTACTTATATAACACCTTTCTACTTAACTTGAATGTCTTTGAGGTACTACTTTAGGTACTCTCTACCTCACCCAATCACGCACGCATTTATGCCTAAGTGCTTTATAACATTCACACACACTTACATGGATTCAACAGGGGCAAATCAGGGTTCACTATCTTGCCCAAGCAGACTTCAATACATGAACTTGAAGAGCTGGAGATCAAACACTGACCTTCTGACTGCTACACCTCTCTCTAAACCACCTGAGCCATACACATTTATTATCATGGTGTGTTTGGGTCATTTATAAAGAAAATGCTATCTTGACTTTGTACTATTTGGACACAAGCTACATGTTAAAAGTGTTGGAAATGTTTTGCAACCTAAAGTTATATCACCATGTGGAGATGAGATTTAAAAAACACTAACAAAAATGTTAATTTTTACTTCTGTGTAATTAAAACTGTTATTTGGAAAATAATATAGAGAGTATATGTAGGCTTAGCAAACACTGATGTTACTAGACAACAATTAATTGTTCCAAAAAAGAGAAATTCCTGTCTTAAAATGCTTATATATATATATACATATTATACTTAAGTTGGCCCCTTACTTATACCAATTATTCATGCCACATAGCCATTTAATTGCTGTAATTTGGTTGAGACTTTTGTCCAATGCAATGCACAAGGAAAAAAACAGAGCACGTGCACACACGGAAAGACAGCACATTAGTTGGATTTAAATGCTTGTGCTTTAGGCAACAGCTCATCCACCCTGGAGGTTGCAGTATTAGGCCCAGGCTGTAACTGTTAAACACTCATCAGTATCTGTTCTCTGTTCTAACATAATTAAATGTGGCATCGATAGTGATGCTTTCATTAGTGTATAATCACCTGCAATTACAAATTAAATTAAAACGAAGGCTTATGTCTTGACAAGGTGCAAATCCTTGTTCACAGTGTGTATATTTGCTCCAGTGTTAATACAGTAACCAAAGGCCCAGAATAACCAACTGTAGCCTCTTTAGACTGGTTTGCAAAAGCCAGTTAGATCCCACAGACTCAATTGTTAAAATGTCCAGCATTAGAGCAGACATAAACTTCTCATTCTGGTACAAAAGTTGAGCTTTTTAATACTTCTAATACCTAAACTTGTGCATTGTTAGACATGTGGCTTGACTTTGACATTGCTAATTTGAATCACTAAACATTTTAACCAGGTTTTCTTTTTCTTTTTTGTTGTTGTTGGTTCAGTTTGGAACCTCTGCATCAAATCAGGAAGTTATCATGTATCGTGACTTAACAACCTGTCATGCACAGATGTTTTATATTGCTGAGACCATACTGAAAAAGCAGTCTAATGCTAAATTCAGTGCTAAAAAGTATAATGTTTAAAGTAAGCATGGTAAAGCGTCATAGTTGCTGCCTGCAGGAGTTGAAAGATTTTTCTAAAAACATTCCCAGTTCATCAGGGAAATTCACTTCATTCAGGGAATGTGATTGGCCTCTGGTTACTCATGTACTTTGCTTAAATGCTTTAAAAAAATGTCAAGCATTAACATCACTTTGTTTGGTTGCTCAGTCGGTGATACTGTACATTTTCTACTCTAGTAAAACCTTTAACCCCTCCCCCAAAAAACTCAGTCCATATTTGTCCACATTCCTGGACCCAAGAAGGATTTGGAAAGGTTTATACCCACTAAGAAGTACTAAGTACTTTCTTGAAATGTCTATGGAGGGCGCACCATGAATAAGCTGGGAAGTAGCAGTCAGCGGAGCAGGTAATGTACTGACTGTCAGGGGGCTGGCAGGGTCTGCTGGGTTTTTAGAAAACTTCAATCCAGCTTACTTGAATAAAAAGCCCGTTTTAGATAAATATGTGGAAATGTCACAAAATGACCTTGAAGGTTTCGCTGTCACCACAATAACACTTTGCCACTGTCCTAAAAGTGCCACACAAAGATTATTATTAGTGTGATTGTGCGAATGGCAACAACAGTGACTCAAATCGTGACAATGTTTACCGACATTACAGTACTTGTCACAGTACCCCATGTTGTGGTTTTACACAAGGGGCCTTCTTCATATTACACCTGTGCAGTGAGAACCCCGAACGCCTCTTCCCAGCACCAATACAGCCCATTTACGGTACGTGTGACACAGCAGCTATACGCTAGAAAGGAAAGAGGAGGTTTTACTCTGCTCGAGGAGCCTCCCTCTTCCTGCCACAAGAGTATCACTCACACAAATATGTCTAACTCTGCTCTTTAAGATCCTGTCACAGATCTTTGGTTCACACGCGAAACAGATAAGGCTCTTTGTGGCGTACACCTACGAATTAAAAACCCAAAACGGGTTTGATCTTGTTCTGGAACACTTTCTCTTGTGATCAGTGGTTTAGCAGGTTTGCATAATTGCACACGTGTTAGTGTAACCTTTGCTATCGGTTTCAGATGAAAGAAAAAAGAAAACAAACGCAGTGTTTAGATGAAAAAGTGGAAAGATAAAGCCACAGTTAGCTAAGCAAATATTGCTTGTTGTCAGAGACTTCTTTCCATAAAATCCCGATGACTTCACAGAAAGTTACTGACGCTGAATTTGAACTTACTCAGCCTGTTCGCTTTTTAGGTTTTGTTTCAGGTTTCCAAAATCAGAGCTGAGGCTTTCATATGTGCTGCTTGAGGCGTGGAAACAGACTTTTTTCTGATAAATTATTTAACCAAACATAACTGCATGACCTG